CAACTGTCATAGTGATCGTTCACTTGAAAGGGCTGTTTGTGGATAAAATGAGATATATTTCTGGGTTCGAACACTTCTGATGAAACTGAATTGCAACAGAACTGTTAGGTGTAAATTTTCGGCACCTTGGCTGCCATAAACAGTAGGTTCGACACTGTGAACGGGTTAATGCAACAACCTATATGTAACTACAGGATAAAACTGTGGAATAAGCTCTACTGTGCCCACTCAGAGATATTCCTTGTTGAAAGCCAGTAGACTAGGATTTCCACCATGTAACATCCGTGTTTTGCGTGACCTACTGACCTCTGACACCGATGTGTTGACTTCACTTTCACCTTAGGTGACAATTAGACCGGCAGGATGCCGAGAGCCTGTGGGCGAGAATATCTGTACATTTGATTAAATCAGAACTGATCGGCCAAACCTAAGGAAAGACTCTGGAGTGACCACGTCCCTCTAACTAAACGCGCAGCAAATTTAGGCCGGGGGGGGGGGGGCCAACCGACGTTCTCACTTCCCAAATGAGACTACGCTGACTAATCGGCAGTAGCTAAACGGTGCGTACTTGAATTGGGCGGGACCCAACATCTGACAAATCCGCATGATTTTTGGGTCATGTTCCTCTATCTTTTAGTAAACGTGTTAAATCATCCATTCTCACATGTGTACTCGGTCTCCGTCGAAAGATTGTAATATAGCTAGTTGGAGACTAGAAAGCTTGACCATGAACTTCGCTTAGGTAAATGTGGAAAAAAACAAGGAGCATAGATTAGAGCAAGTTGGAAGCCGATTAAGAAGTAATCGTTTTAGAGAAAATCGGTGAATTTATGACCGGAAACCGTCTAACTTTTGACGAAAATCTTCATTAGATCATAACTGATGCGCTATTCAATACAAGTGACTATGAGGAAAGAATGAACAAATGTTCATTGTACATTCTAAGCTGGAAACAACGTAGCCGTTGTTACTTCAAAAAAAGGCCAAAACTCAGTGAAACTCCCAATACCGAACCACTGAGTGAATTATTTCTTACACTGAAAGTCCAGGGAACATCCAAGGATGCTAAAAAAGATAGCTTCACCGCCCAATAAGCCTAAACACTTTGACAGTTTGCACTAAACCATGAGTTAAACAGGCCAGGCGTTATTCCGTTCTAGTGAATCAACCTCCGCAGAACGATCGGTTAAGTCATTTAAGTGTTGAGTCTGATCCGCATTAGATGGACATCCCTCAGAAGGCAACACTGTGGCTAAGTTACGCAAACTGCGGTTCATGTCCTTTATGGACCTTTCCGTTAAGTGAATCAATGGACCTAACTCAAAAATACATATGAGAAACAACAAAGTTCTTACGATTCACTCACATTTATACAAGACCGGTATAGTGCCACTATTTTTCTCACAGTCTCCCAAACAGTAATCCGTAGATTCTGTCGTTCAGCCTATGTTGTATGCACCATTCCACGGATAGTTATCCTTAGAAGAACGTCGGAAAAAAGGTCAAAATGACACCTCAGTCGCCAAGCAGTCACCAGTGAATATATTGGTATGTATTAATGGCTAAAAAGATTCATTCCAAGACAAGAGATGATCAGAGAAGTGATCAGACTTCTATGTTAAGTTGGAATTCTGAGAATCACCATGTTGTAAAGATCTGTTTTTTTAACTAGCGCATCAGAGTCCTGAAAGATGAGTGAGATTTGGTGAGACGAGTAAGCGGATGGCTTTAAATGGACATCCGTCTCACCAAAACTCGATGAAGGTGTTTCCACGAAAATACAGATATATAATGCTTGATTTCTGGTGCGTGATTTCTCAGCCAGAGAAACTTACGCGGGATTTTAGGGTATAAGTTGGAAAGCGAGATTCGTGACCAACTTTTAGTTGTTATCTGAAAGAAAACAATGTTGTTGCACTTCACAATAATGTATCCATCTTTCTAGTACTAATACATCACCGAACAGAGTAAAAGAACTGTATCTATTAGGTTTCGAGAGACACATATTGGTACTTCGGTGGCGAAGTGCATACGTACTATTCCTGTTGTGATTAAAGTTGTCTCATCAGGTTTGTCCGAACGTGCATTTTCACAAAAATTCTATGGCCGGTTGGCATTTTGGACTATGAGAAGGAGAAGGTAGCCGACGTTGAGTGTCTACCGCATTATAGAACCTGGTACGGTGTCGGGCAAGCAGAAGACATCACTTCATGTCCAGAATCCAATACAGAAAAAGTGTTAGATCAAATAATGCTATATTCAACCCTTATGCAGCAGATCCAACGATCATATTTGAGAAGCCACTTACTTCTGATATGAGATAATCATTTCAGAGTTCCAGAGCTTCACTGATTTCACGATATTTTCTTCTGTTTCCCGAATTTAATTCAGAGGTACAAACATCCTCGAGAAATACAATCATTTGCAAATCACTTTGGTTTTCACGAAAGAAAAGACTCAATCTCTCGTTTATGATATTCTACGACTGAAAGTGTTGCACACAGGCCACCTCATATTTTAGTTGGCACGATATCCGAGATATCGTAGTATATTTTCATAAAGGAAACTACTCACAAGGAAAATATACTGCGATATCTCGAAAATCGTGCCAACTGAAACGTGAGGCGGCCTATGTGCAGCACTTTCAGTCGTAGAATATCATAAACGAGAGATTCAGTTGAGTTTCTCGTGAAAACCAAAGTGATTTGCAAATGAGTGTATTTCTCCAAAACGGTGCAATTTGGGTTCAAGTAGATTATAAGGTTGACGGAAACTCGGGGACTGTGCCTACCTGATGAGCCCCAAGAAGGGCGAAACCGTCGTGGACTGTCGACAGATTTTCAGCAACCTTATGAGTAGTACATTAGAAATATATACATGTTTCGCGACATTTCAAATATCGTCGCAACTGAAGCATGAGGCGGCCTGGTGCAGCACATTCAGTTGCCTGAGAACATCATAAACGAGAGATTCAGCTGGGTTCCAAGTGAGTCTCTCGAAAAAAACCAAATTAGTTTGCAAATGAGTGTATATTCGCTACAAACAGACTTTCGTTTAGAACGATTACTTTTATAAATTGGCGCATACGAATGCAATAGTTTTCTTTCATTTGTGTGCCTATCACTTGTTGTTCAATGCTAGGAGCGCATACTGCTCACAGAAGAATTTAAAGCAATATTATCACTGCTCTTCATGCCTTCTAAATTAAGTCCTGAGAAGCAAAATATCAATCGGAAGCAGTCCTCTCGTGTACGCTGAGCTGGAGATGGGGATGGATTGAGTGCTGCAAACAATTATGAACTATTTTATATCAGACTATAAGGTTCTGCAATTGCTATGCAAACTGTGTTGCTTTCTTGACTACTTCATTTGGCCGTGGTTTGCAGTTCCATTGCTATTATGAGCGTTCCCTGGGTGAGCATACGGATTGGGATTAAACATGTGTTCTGTTCATGAATGCCATGCGCACTCATGCGGGTCATCTGGAACTCACCTAAACCAGCCGCCCTACATTCAAACAATCAATAAAAGAACAGCTATCTCACCATAACACCTCGATGTGCCTACCAATGTGCTGCTCATGTGGGCTCTCTATAGCGACCGAACGATGAGAACCAGGACTTAAATCGCGCCTGAACACTTCCCCCACGTAGGCCGAACAGTGTAAAATCTTCCACAGCTCGTTACTTGTACGCCCTGTAGACACTGGCCGTCACTTTGATTGTGGAGCCTCATTCGGTAATACTGAGCCTATGTGAAAGATAAGCCCGTGACAGATTTTGCCCTTCTTGAGGTTCATAGGGTAGGCGCCGTCCCCGAGTTTCCGGCAACCTCATACGCAACTTGAACTAAGGTTGAAAAGATTTCGACAAACGCACTCATTTGCATACCAATTTGGTCTTCACGAGGGACTCATCTGAACCCCAGCTGAATCTCTCGTTTATGACGTTCTTCCTAAACTAAATGTGTTGCACAAGGTCGCCTCATGGTTTGGTTGATAAGGTATTCCAGATATCCCAATGCATTGTATAGAGGCGACACACTACTCGTAAGGCTGCTGAAGTCTGACAACCAACGATAGCATTCGTCCATCCAAGTTACACAAAATCAGCAAGATACACCCATTTACGTTCATCCGAATTCATTTGGATTTCTCGTTTATGATACCTGTATGTGTTACACTCAGCAGCCTTATGAATAGTCTTCCAGAAAATATGCTGCGATATCAACGGACAAGGGCAAACTTTGTACAGAACCTTCAGTAGAAGAATATCATAAACGAAAGACTCAGGTGGGATTCAGTTTTGTTCCTATTAAAACCAGATATAGGTGTGAAAATTAGTGTATTTCCGCAGCGACCAGATGCAATTTTGAACATATTCTCACGCTTTTCATGGAGCTCTTTTCCCAGTTTTCAGTAAGTAGTATGAGAAAACGACACGTAAGGTCCACTCTATACTGCATGCAACATTATCCGAATGGCATGAAACAGTTGTCGACATCCATACCAATTTCACCGACCACCGTAGTTCCTTGCGGCATGAGGAGTTCGTGATACCCCAACCTGATTATGGAATCCTATCACACCATCCAATAGGGTGCGGTGACGACACCGCTCTCACAGCGATGTCTGTTGTCGCGTGCGCCTATTTCATGGGCGAAAAGGTCGGGGAACAATCTGGCTGGTGCGACGTGTTCCAAGGCGTGCAGACAATGTGCGGTCGTGCGCCTCACCAACCAGACAAATTGATGCTCGCGGGCGGCGGCGAACATACGCTCACGGACACACATTTTAACACACGTCCGCGTGCACACACACGCTCACGCAGGTCCAGGCAAGGCGTCCTCCCACCTGACGCGACTGCAACATATAAGACCAGCTGTCACGCCGACTTGCACGTGAGCTGTGCGCTCGTTTTCCCTGGACTTCTGTGCGTACGCAGTTGGCATCTCGCGGCCGCTCGGCTCGTGGTGAACTTGTGTTACACCGAGGTGCATGCAATGCTAATGCTCTCGTAACTACTAAATTGTCATTCCATTCACCCACCGTCGTGCTTTCACCATCAACATCGTCGCTATCGCAAAACCGTTAATATTCATCCAAATTCGCCCCATCTGTCTCATCACTTACACGAAATACTGCCATGTGGATGCATGACTGTTCCTCATGTGCCTCTGCCAAATCAGACGGGTTGCAAGCCTGGATGCGACATTTGACCGAGCATCATGTGATCCCAACCGAATGGCCAAGCGATAGAGCGGCGAAGCTCACAGGCCCACCTGCTGTGCGCCCATATACGACGATTACAGAATCGAAGAAGAAGCGCCGCAAAGATAGCATTCCAAGACCTCTGAACAGCTTCATGGTAAGTCATTCACGAGTTCTTCAATAAACTCAACCAGACGTACCCAGCACCTCCAATTTACATATTCCCTTTTATTCAAATCACGGAACTGGCCCAAGGCGTATTTCACTGTGTTTAACTAAAATCCTGCACACCCTCCTAATTTAAGGTGGTAGTAATGATATCTTACATAAGAATATAGTGCACGTCTGAGTTCTTCCAGCAATGTTATTTTATTCCGTTATCACTTTTATCTTGCACTCAAAGTCTATCAGATAAGGTTGCAGCTTGTGTGTGCTGACTGGAGTAGGTGTTGCTTCAAAATGCTACTCCGGGGATGGCAATTAACAAAATGAGCAAGCTAGCCCGTTTGAAGGGATGGTAACTCCACATAACTTACCAGGGATGTGTACGGCTTTTGAAGGTGTCATGAATGGCCCTTTGTATCCCAATGCAGTGGTTGCTGTCGTTTTGTTTCCCTATCCCAACCAATAGAATTTTACCTACGGCGGCAAAAAATCAAATTGTATTGTGCGAAACTGCTACTCAATCGGAAGCAAGTGCGAGGAGTGGACTCTTGCCAGACCACTCAATCCTGGACGAAATAAAGGAAACAAAGTCTGTTTGGTTGTTTGGCAGACGGCACCGGCGACATTCCAACATAGTGTTTCGAAGGGTGGGCTCCGGCTCTATAAGATAGCCAAAGTTTAGTGGTTAAACGTGTTCCGTACTCTTGCAACAAACAGTAGCGAAATCTACTCTGAGGCAACGGTTAACCAGTTTTGGTCACGTCGCTATTCGCACACTGCAAAACCGATTGATCTATTGGCTATCCCCGGAACCGGAGAGTCCTCGGGTTTAGCAGAAATCTATTCGCATACCACACCCTCATGGTTTAGCGGGGATTCCTGGTGGCCATGAAATTTATATAACGTGAGCATTATTTCAACGTGCAATAACAAATGCTGGACTCGTGGGATACCATATTCGGGGACACAGTTGCGAGGGGCCTCATGTGTTTCACCAACCTAAGCTTTATGATGCATGCAACACTACGTGAGCACAAGGCTGAGTAAAGCCACTTTTTCTTAGTAATTGTGCCCGTCTGCTGAACGCTGGTCAGCAACTTTTTGTATATTGGGCTGTGAAACAGTGCTTCCGTACCAGGTAGACAACATTGGATTAAAGCTTATTGCTCGGCACAATGTGTAGATTTGTCGGGTGATCGTTTGATTACCGAACTACCCAACATATTTGCCAAATAATAATCAATCTTTTGTGGATACGGTGATGCCTGAATACAGTATGACATAAGTAACCGAATCTTTAATTTTGCATCAACAAGAATGTCACTTAACTCCTAGGAATCCATGAGCTGCACGGCAACCAAGCCACAAAACGTGTAACACACTCTCAAATTATGCACTTAGATATCCTCAAGGATCGGGTCCTTGGTAAGCTGTGCAGTATGCGGTCTAGAGTTAATAGTTAGCAGTACCATCTCACACATCTCAACACGAATCTATTCTCTTGAGGCACTGAATGTGAGAACACCAGTTTCATACTTGTTCATAGTCCCACTTTGCTTTCCCGTTAAACTTGACACATCTTGTGATGGATCACACTGCCAGCATATTTGTTTCACGTGCTTTCTTCTAGGCAAACGGGGGTCCTGGTAACTAGGATCGTTTCTGTTGTGCCGTCGCGCAATCCATCCGTTTGGTCTTATCACTACCAAACACATGTTCACATCGGGATTCACACATGCTTCCAATGAGGGGACGCAAACACAGTGTTGTATAGCCTGAAATTCGAACTTCCTTCAGCAGCTGTTTTCAGACAGCATTTCATTTGTTGGCATTATGTCACATTTTATCCACACGGTCCTAATGCATACTTTTAATCTGTGAATTTCATTTACCATGGTTGACCATGCAGGCGAATGCGAAAATTTCCGGTTGGCCGGCGGCGATGGATTCGCTGAACGATCAATAAGACCCTAGCCAAATAGATGGCTGCTCTTGGCAAACAGCCTTGCTGTCAGCGTCAGACAATGATGCAGCCCGGGCTGTTCGTCTGTCGCTAACGCATGTTTGCCTGGCCTTCAGTCACCAGCCTAATATATATCTCTAGGTCAAAAGGTCATCATACAATGTCGGCTCTGTATTCCTCAAACGACTTACGAAGCAAGTGTAAACTGATTTTGAAGAACGAAGTGTTTCTGCGGCCACTGATTTCCTCACAAGGCTGCCTAATCCTTTAGCAGAATGGTCACACCAAACGATGTCACAAGTCGTAAAGAAACCACTTGAAAAGCCGCGACAAATCCAGGTGCATCGGCTCTGAAAAGGTAACGACTGAACGACAAAAGAAAGTACTTTCGTTCTGAATATTTAATTGTCCTCTGACTTAATTCAGTTTGAACAAAATCTAACGCTCAGACACAGAACCGACCCTATCAACGTGTTTATGTTTCCAAAAGGACGCTGTTGGCTGAATGTTGTCCGACTGGCCCCCGTTACTTAGTCCGTTCAGACACCAGACTTACTCAGAACTTGTATTTTGTTAGAGCCGTCGCCTAGGCTACACACCAGATGGCCCTTAGCATTATCAATTCCATTCTGTTATCTGAAACAAACGGCGGAATCAATGACGTGACAGGAAATCGATACACAGAACACGCTAGGATCGCGCATCCGTTGTTCCCTCAGCATCTCACAGCTCAGGTAAGCATTGTGTGACACTGCATCAGATATTAGGGAAAACGAACGAAACTCTTGGTTTTTGTGGTAGCGCCTACCGTTTAGCAGGAGAGGTATACTTTTTTCGTTTTTTTTAAATTAGCACCGAAGCCCACCGTAGAACTCGTCCACTACACAACAAGTTTTGCGACTGTGTGCGTGAGATGACTCGTTTGCATCAGTCTTCTGTGAATAGACTTACGTGCGTCTTTAAGGTTTTTCTGGTTGCCCACAAAAGTGCTTCACTCATATCCCTCCTTATATCGTCTCTCAAGTAACTTTCGTTGTGTTGAACACATTTTAGCGCGCTCACTTATAACGGCCCCTACACTATCGCCCCCTTTCTCAGCTTTGGTCGTCTTCAACACCGTCCATTGTCGCAACAACTTGTTTTGGCCAGCATTGCCTTCGAAACATTACAAAGGAGAAAAGTGACTCAGCTTAGCTTATTTTGATGGGAGGGCTAGCTTCCTTTAATTCCAGTACAAATGCATACCAGCTCCACCTATCCTGACATATCCTCCAGCAAGCTACGCAGCTAGGACTTCTTCATAGGCTTTCACTTGGTGCCCGATGATCAACATGAGGCAGAGGTGCTATAAAGACTGCTGCTGCCTGAACTACTGTAGTCCTATCGAACTTTCTAGGCTGGAAGCACAAATGTGATGAGTGACCATTAAAAGAAACATTCGGAGATAGTGGTGAATAGAAATGCGCAGAGCACATGTGGTCATCCTGTTATTGTAAGTTTAGTATGATTTACCGGTCCAACAATTTTTCAATTTACCGTTCTAGGTTTCCTGCTGTACTTGTGGTATATGAGTCTTGGAGAGTTAATGGTCGGTCGCTGGTTTGTTGGTCGAGGTGGGAATTCGGTTGCAAACGCCTCATCACCAGTCCAGTTAGCGTCATCAGTTCGCTGTTAGGGAGTGGCGTGGAGCGTAGTGTTGCGCTAATGGTTACACCACAGTGATTGTGCACAATCAAGATTTGCCAGCTCAGTGGACAAACCAAACACCATTTACGCTACGTGAGCTCTTACCATTCTTTTCATTATCAAATGATGGACCGTTTGCTGACCACTTGATCTCTGCAGTGCTCTCATTTGATCATCCACTCAACAAATATCGCTAGCTTATGTTGTAGTGATGGCGCCCGATTTGCTCCCTGGGCTAGGCATTTGGTCGTAGAAGTACACTTACCGGTCGGGTGATAAGTTCCTTTTCGTTGTGGATGATCTTGATGATCCCACATTTTCAAATTCATGAGCGTTTTCCTTACTTGACTCAGAGTAGTAGGGGATGACACTGTATTTTCTACTAAACCCGGTGCTTCAACTATGTGGTCATAATTTATATTTCGAAATCTTCACTCCTTTTGGATTGTCATTTCATGGATGTGCCAGAGGGAGAATTATCTCAGGTTTTCATGAATTACCGATGTGGATTGCCAACAAAGTAATTTGTTCACCTTGTTACCGATAATGATATCTTCGAGTATATGGTTGTGCTGGCTACTCGGGCTATTTCTCTCCTACTAGTGACTACTATTCGCCCTCGGACAGCATTCGTATGACGGTACATGCCATAAAACGTCTACAAATCAGGTATTGGTGAGACAGTCAGTATATCCGCGACGTTTGTGAAAAGAAGCCCTGATTAACCGAAGGGCGAGCTTATAGGGTACAGGAGTCCGGACAGATCTCTTAACCGTAAGCCCAATACCGTTATCAGCTTGATTCATCCTTCTGTGTTTAAAATGATGTGGTTCTTGTGGTTGCCGTGATTTTTACTGCACCAATGTAGATACCACGTTTGATTCTTGAAGCTGGATTTTCAAAGCAGAGTGCCTTTGACGAATGACTGCATTAAAAAGTCTTGTGGATGTCGTTGGCTGTCTAACAAGTTCAAATACCATACCAAAGAAGGCCAGCTATCCAGGATGCTGCACGTCTATAACCAATATCTGAGCAAGACAATCTAGTAGCAGCTCAGAACGATTGTGGCCATGGACCAGTGTTGCAAATTGAATGTTTCCTATTTTTTCAAGCCAACTAATACGATGTTGAACGCCCAGGTTTTCCACAAGCTAGACACAGAGCAGCGCAACTACAGGGATGTTGTGAAGAAGGGTCCCACGACAGAAGCTACGTGCTTAGCTCTCTGATCGGAGGTATTTCTGGAGGAACTGAATGTAGACAGAGCAAACCAATTGTCATTAGAAGATCCGTTGATATACATCTAAGGCGAAAGTCCCATCATCGCCGAAGACTTTACGTTAGGTCCTTCACGGTGTCTCCATTCATCATGCCTTCATCTCAGATGATTTCGTGGTAAAAATTGCGGGGCACTAGCACGAAACCTCCCAAGATAATGTCCGAGGTGAGCGGTGTTGTAACTAGTGATCATGTGATCGAGTGTAGCGAGTTTTGCAAGCATCCTATTTGAAAGGATCAATTGTAGCACAACGTGGATGCCTACCTGAATTCGGTAATCTGCTGGTCAGCACGTAAGTTTATAACGCCGTGAAAATGAAGAGGAAACCGGCAAAGAAGTGAGTGAAATTTTGAGGGATTAGTATGGAATACGGACGCCCACGATGCAGTGGGATCAAGCTTATTCACTGTGTGATACCAGATTATCTCCGCTCTGTTCTTTATTGCTACCATACCCGAATCTGTCAAGCCATTAACTTGTACTGTTTGCATCAATTCAAAGCTTAGGAAACCGATATTCTGGAAGTTATGTTTACCCGAATTCCGACAATGTAAATGTGGACAGTTGGTAATATGAATGAGAATGATTTGGCAGTTACCAACATCGATATCAATCACTCGTTCCACCTGATTTAGCCGGCGGTTTCAGGGAGTGGGCCGATGTGTTCTAGTTAAAATTTCAGCCGCCTCAGGAATCGATAAACCCAAGTCTGTGGAGCGATTCAGTACTTCGCCTTATATAAAATTATCAGATTCTCCGTTCATTGGTGTAATCAGAGAGCTAATAAGGCCAAATTTGCAGGCTCTTGTCCTCATAATGATGAAGTTTGCTAGTAACTCGGATAACCAAAACTACTGTTTCAGGATTTTGGGGTTCGGAATTTCACTGCATAGCTTCACATTAATGTCCAATCTGTTGACTTAGACCGACCATATGCAGCACCAGATTGGCCCACCGACTGAGATCGATCACTTTTGCACTTCAGAAAATTCGATTAAAACAGAATGTGAATCTTTTTCGACCCTCAGGTGTGACGTTCTGACAATAGCTTGGACAATCATATTGCTGTGACAGCTGGGTTTTTGTCCTGAACAGAAGGTGATGCGGTTCGTTATACTTGTGGTCGTTGGCTGTCCTGGCTAAGATCAACATAGTATAAACCCTCTTCCCGTCAACTGCTCAACTTTCCCCATATACTGACATTCCAACCATGCTGGGACAGTGTATTCATCGTCAGTGAATGATCCCGACTGAATGAAGGTGTTCATGACTCTAATTTGAGCGTGTTTCTGTTTTCCGCACCACTAACCGTTGCTCAGCTTATTCTCAGGGTGTTCTATTCGGGCCAGTAACCTCCGCACTAGGGATTCACCCCACCTAATGCTCTGGTGTAGCAGACGCGACCACACATACCAGTCACTTCAGTCCTGTTCCCACACTCACCATATCACGTCAATAGGCCATTCGTTTCATCGACCTCTTCCTCTTACCTTGATCAATTTTGACAGTCTCGACATGCCAACAGACACTGTAAATATGGGCCATTTAGACAGTATGTGTTTACGATCCAGCAAGTTTATAGGCACCTACATTGCCCGTTCGTTAGGACGAACTAGGGCTCCGAGTAGAGATGGAGTTAAACCACCAAATAGTGACCCTCTGAATGGACCTGAAAATGTCGCCACCGTAATCTTTCTCACGATTTCCTCCAGCAAAGCAACTCTATGTACCGGACAGTCCGCTTTCTGTACAGCATTTTGTTCAACTACAGCCGTAAGCCCGTAGACGGCATTTAGTTTGTTTTCACATTTTCATTTTTTATGGCCTTAGATTACATCGATTATAGCTCAGCCTTCGGGATGGAACATGCAGATCTCTCCTGTGCTATCGAAATCGGCAGCTGTGGCCCGCTAGTGGATGACTGATGTGCTTACTGATTATACGTGTCCTTCTCGTTTAAGCGCCAGCCTCATTTTTTCAGTGTTCATTTACAAAATCCGTGGCATTTTCAGGCATTTCATACCCATAGTTTGATTTCGGTTTAATTTCTCGTATTCTCTTGGTGGCACTGTACTCCAATAACTATTTCTTCGCTCAATTAATGGATTATTAAAAATACTTAATATAACTGTACTCAGATAGCCAGGTAACCCAGGTAACCCGGGCAGCTGGCTAGTAGGTCCGTCGTGTCGGCCGGACCATGGCCTTTCGACTTCTTTCAGCCAGGCCTTGCATAAAAAAGCAACTGATTCCTCGTGTTCCATTCCTGTTTTACTATATTTATGCACCAAAACAAAGCCAGAGCTGAACAACTCCATTTTTCGCATAGTTTGACCCACTATTACGTCTACCGGACAGCACTGAGTATGTTCTCAAAGCAGAATTTTGTCAAAGGGCCTAGTCAGGACTGTTACATAAGATCATACTTCGTGTCTTGGAAAATGTGTGGACGTCCTTGTAGTCTTCCTTGGTCTGAGAGGATGCACAATAGATTTACGTACAACTTAAGGAACACATGATTTCTTCTGGTTGTGGAGTTATGGGGACTGTTTAGCAAGCGGTAACTATATTGTTTATTCTTCTGGGACTAAGTAATGATATCCGCACTTCAAAAGCCTCCCCCATGGCACCAGAGTTATCGAACCTCATCACGTGGCATTAGATTCTATCGCATCACGTGATACCCTGCTTCTTTCATATCAGGCTCATTTAGATGACAGAGCTTCAAGTGCTAACAACAGCCGAACTTTGAAATTTAACTCTAATCAAGTAGGCTGATTGATTAATGACGGACCTGGTAAAGGTTGATACGGCCTGCTTGGAACAACAGATGCGTGATGAGATAATCGACACATTGACAGCATTAAATATCACACGTACACGTTCACGTCAGTTCTCCCGAATTTTTCGTTCTCATGCGCTTCTTATTCCTTTGGAATTGTATTCACATATACAATAATTTCAGCCTTCCCCTTGATTCATTACAGATAAGGCTTGCATACCGAAATCGGTATCAGTCCCTTGACTGTTTACTGAAACATATGAAGATTCAGAGAGTTTCGCACGACTACGTGTGTATAATTTTTCATGTGACGAGCTCCCTACGGGTGTATGTGTAAGCAATAGCAGAATCAATCCACAGAAACCAGGCTCCCAGGTGGGCTTATCAAATACGAGGAGCTAAAACTGACTCAGGAGTAGTCTGCATGTTCTGCCCTAAGCTACTGTCTATCTCACACATACCCATCCACTGCCATGTGCGTTCGCTTCTCACAAACGGACATGTAGATCGAAGCTGTTATCCTCAGCATCCCTTCTATGATAGGATCGACCGCAGTATGAGTGAACACGTTTTGGAAAAGCCTGGTGACTATGCTCAATCACCATGTCACCAACTCTGGACGGCTGATCTCTCCAGACGACGATGATATGAGTGCACCGCTCGTTCGCTCCACGAACGAACACTACGTAACTGGCTCAAAACCCTATTAAATCTCTTCTCTTCCGTATTCGACGTAGATTACTATCCCCAGATTAATCTGAAGTCTGCTCACCCAAATTCTGGGGTACTTTGAGCTCCTGTCCTCTACATAAGCCTATGACTCATGAGACAGGAGAGTTATTACTAAATTTTGCGGCATTTACTGACATCTACCAGCCTGGTCTCTACACATCCTAATTAAGGCAATTGTTGATACTTCAAGCTTCGGACTCCATGGGGGGGGGGCAACGCTAATGGGATCTGACAAGCACGAAACTGCCGATTAACGCTTTGCCGAACATAGACAGGCAAATATTCGCGTAGCCACAATCACCAGCATTGCCGTCATCATCATAGACTAATATACGCTAGTAGTAAATACTGGTGTTTATTTAGATCTTAATTTACGTCCTTTCCGAATCGACAAAGTACTGAAGCCAGTTGACGCTCTAACATTGCTGCATGATCTGTGCCTTTGTGCCATTCATAGGTTTGCCATTTGTGTAACCGATCCCATTCCTTTCAACCTTCAGTTGTTCGCCCAACACATCCGAAGAAACGTACTTCGCGTGTTCAGTGATGCATCAAACTCTGTGATCAGTCAACAACTGGGCGATCTATGGCGCACCGTTCCGCATAACTTTCGAACACAGTATGATGACGAGGCGAATCGATTGGTAAAGATTCATCTACTTGAATTCCCAAACTACAAATACCAGCCTAAAAAGAGGCAACCAATAACCTCCGCTGCGGCGACCTCTGGAGTGATCAGTCATACGGTCGCTGCTCCTAGTAACTCAGGAGACTATGCAAGAATGACCGGTCGCTCTGCTATTCGACTGGGTTCTTCGGAAACCAGATCTGTGACCGAAAACACAGGAACACAACAAGATAGTCCGATTTACTTCAAGCCCAGGCTGTCTACTGCTGATAGTGCACCGGCAGCCATGGACAACTCTGCGCGACTCTGTTTTACAAAGACTGAGGATCAACCCTCAGGGACCTATTTCTACCACAGTGCCAACGATTCTACAGCTTTCCGGCTAATTAGTCCTGCCAAACTGTCACCAAAAACCGATGTCACTACTCACATCACTGAACAACCATCGCAACTGAAATCTAATCACGGTACACTGAACAACACGGCATCGATTGCTCATAGTCTTTCCTCGGTCTTACCACCACTAATGACGCCGTCATCCAAATTGGCAACCACTTCCACTGCGGATTTCTACACCCAGACTGGTCACTTTGGGTCGTGCGACTCAGCCTATGCCTCTGGGATAAACAGCTCCTCGTCTTCATCAGCATCATCGCCAGCGGTTGGGGATCTACTCTCACCCACTAAACCCATCTCGATCCTGGGAAGCTGTACAAAGTCATCTCCCGTTCGGCGAAAGATTCAGTTCATCCCTATTCGACCACAGTCGCAACAACCTTTGCATTCAAATAGTGGAATGCAGCTGACGCGCCAGCGATTTCTGTCTGCGAACAATGGTCTACCGGATCAATCACATTCGAACCGCACCGTATTGTCAACAAGTCATCCTAGTGTGAACAGTGCACCAAGAAGTGATAACACAATCCCAGTGTACCGCTTGGATTCTTCTGACGCCAATATCGTGACTCTGAACGGTGGTCGGAGAGTACACCAGCTTGTTGCTCCTGTCTATGTGCGACTCGACGCAGAAAGCAGCGGAACGAATGAGGACGTAATACTCACCTTGCCACCCGGTACCACCATAATCCAGACCGTCGGAGATTTGCGGAACTTCCCAGTAAAGACCGGTGTCCTTCAAGCGCATTCGATGCAGGGTGGACAATTAATGCTTGCGCACCCAGTGGGAAAAACAGCGTCGCCTGTTGCTGATACTCCGATCCCAACAGCTGATCTTTTCCAACTAACTGGTTCTACTGCAAATGGAGAACCTTTATCTGCCTCCGAAGATATGTCACCTCTCCCCTATTCATGTAGTTCAGCCTCACCGCCAGCTTGGTCCCCACTTTCTGGGGATGTGTTTTTACCGCTTCATCACGTACACACAACAGCTGCACTAGACGACGATGCAAACTGCACAGCAAAGTCCTCCACATACTCGTTAATGTCGAATACGGACTCTGGAACATATTTGTACGAGTCAGAAGACTCTGTCATGGACAGTCATTTTGATTGCGATACTGACCTAGTGGATAAGGTTAAGATGGAACCGGTCCCTAAAACCGAAAGCCGTAACAACGAACTGTTCTGCGGTATGCGTTATACTTCACCTCGTGACCATGCTACGGAATACAGCACAACTTGGACATCATCAGCCGGTGCAGTAGAGTTCACGCACAACAACCGGAATGGAAGTGTTACTGGTACCGGATCATCTTTCATCCCTCTGGCCATTGATGTTGCAAAAGCCGATCAATCGAGTGACCAACTCATAATGGATAGCGAAACACCGATGTCTGATTTTCCGATGGCGAATGAAGATAATTTCGACGCGAGTTTTGATGCAATGATGAATTCCTTTGATATTACGGCGTTTCTACCGGGGACCTATTCCACTAACGATGATCTAGTTGTTGGGGAGGAGTTTGCCGAAGACAATTATGGTGCGAAGACACAAGGCAGGGTTGTTGGGGCTGATAGTTTTCGGCATGAACAAACCTCCATAGAGGAACGACGACTGAATTTCGATCGACGGACAGTTTGCCCAGAAGAAGCGACTGAAGGCACTAATTTTAACTCTACGATAGATGTGGATGATATGCTGACGAGCCTCGACAGTCAACGGGCTGTGATCGTTACGAATGACTACTGTTCAACCACTCCTTACCTAACTGATCATTCAAAGGACGTGAATACGATGATCAACAATGCTACTGCCAGTACCCACGATAGTATCGTATCTGATATTCAGTCAAGATACCAGAATCAGATGAACTCACAACATTCCCCATTATCCGACTTGGATGCCTTGGACAAATCTAGCTTGCTCATTATCAAACCGGACTGGTCTCTGCGCGTTTGAAGCAATGGGCGAGCTGTTGAATATGTGTGATGCTTTCCTTCTCTGCCTGTGTACAACTTATTCGTTACTATCCCCAATCTTCTACGCGCACACCTTAACAATTGCTAATATTTTCTACCTTTTTGATACTCATTCACTCAGTCGCTTGTTCGGCAAACAATCGCCGAATTATTAAGAATCATCATGATATTCAGGTGCACACCGAACAGTATTCCTACTAATGGCACTAATACTACTTTTAACGATGCCTCATTCACTACGATTAACTTGACTCCTTGTATTCCGGCAGCGATTTTATTCACTAACTTTTTGTCTCCTTTCGTGCTTCCTATTTGAACTGAGAGCGAACAATCTGTGTTCGGAGGCTCTCGCTTTTGGTTCTGTTAATGTGAATGGGACTATATTTTCATCATCCAAGTCCCTGTTTCTCTCAGGTTTTACGCAACATGTGGTCGACTCGCATACCCTCTCCCTCCACACGCCTCCTACGCAACATACTGACTCATGTGTGCGCTAACTTCAGGGCTATACAACTATTCGATGCACGCATGAACGCAATTACTTAAATTGTCTACCTATTTTCCCTTACGTTAATCATGTTTTCGGCTCTTGAACAAAAGACCGGAAGGCTGGTTTGTAAAAATGTGTACAGTTTTTTCTCAAAATTATTATCCAATAAGCGCTAGTCCCTAACCTCACTCCCTAAATCTGACAGGAGTAGTCATGCTTTCGCTGTTGTCCTTCGGTTCAACTCAGGTGTTATTTTTTGCATTTTTTCAGCAGTAAATATATGCGCATGTACGTATGCAGACCTATATAAGTTCGTGCCTGTATGGATGCCTATATTCACACACACTCAGCTCATATGCTGTCCTTATTCTCAGTATTATTTTGATACTGTAATCCAGTGAATCAGGGCCATTTGAAATCGATTTTATTCTCCCGTTTCCCTCCACTATCACTAACCCCTACTCTTTCCCTCACTCCTATACTCGGGGATACATAGTTTCTCATTTTGAAACTCTATTGCTATGCGACGTTTCGTTTTTTTTAGTATCAACCTTTGCATTACAGGTGATTTCGGAAGTAGTCTACTGTTCTTTTTGCGGCGATGGGCGACAAGTAGGGTGGTAATCGGAAAACGCGTATTCGATAAACAATAACCCCCATATGAGAGATGGTAGTTTGCTGACTCTTTCCGTTGTACATATGTAGATATCCCGGTTTCGTGTAATCCTTATAAGGGACTTCGTAAAATGCACCTAAAAGAATGTACATTTTAGCGTGAATTTCATAACACATAATTCAATAACTATGAGACTCTATATACGATTACCCAAGGAGAAGTGACATACTTGCCAGTTTCGACCCGATGAACCATTACCATACCATCATCCACCAAGTCGCACAGGCTTTTCGTGGCCTATCAAAGTGAAACGATTTACTGACTAGTGTGATCCGTTACTCGAAGGAGCTTTTTGTAGTGAACACTAATACCATGGCTTCTGGTTTGTATTCAAAGTTAAACAGTTTCCAATGCAGAATCCCTTGTTACTGACAAATTCGCGACTGAAAAGTGGTCGTTGAAAGTGAAAACCCAAGAGTGTCCCCGTTTTGTTGATACCGTAGTTCAACTTCATCTCTGATTGGGGCGAAGAAAGTGGGCGAAACTCTTGACGTGGCAATGAAAACGCAACAAATGTTACCGGTAATTTTGGGTGCTACCCAGTACTCTGTGTATGAGGTTACCAAACACCCAAGTATCTCCGGGTCTGTGTCAAACGAATTGCTGGAGTCTGTGGCTTCCTTAGCGTGGATGATGTTACGCGATAAGCTTTGATCCTCAGCATCCATCACTGAGCTCAGGTTGGCTTCCTTTGGATGATTCAACAATTTTTAGAAACCTCAATGGACAATAGTATACTTTCATTGCAAACTCGGTAAGAAAGCTGGTCTGATTCATGGAAGGTCATAGAGCGATGTAGTAAGCATGCCATCGTGACGGCCTCAGCCTCGCAGAAATCGTTCTGCGTACTTGTATGCCATATTTGTCTGCCTGGGTAGGTTAACACAGATGAGTATGCACGCGGTTCCAGTAATAGCTGGGTAGTCTACTGTGTTCGGAAAATCATTGAAACCGTCGGTTTTTCTTGTTTTTCTTCGGTAATGTCCCACTGGTAACGCATCTCTCAAAGTAGCTGCTCAATAAACTTATGGTAAGTCATTTGTAAGCACGAAACCTCTAAAATACCACTCTGCGTACTGAGAGAATGCGAAACATCATTAAAGCATCTCATTGGTCTACTTGACCTGTGTCTGACTTTCACTCGACCGTGATGGTGCTCCCAGAGTCAAACAGCGAAAGCACTGTTATCTTCAAAATGTGAGTAGCAAATTGGTTCAGTTGAATCTATCGATAAAAAGCCCACAAAGTACTGTTTTCGGTGCTGCGCACAAAGTGACACCGTATTAAACACCTTGTGTATTGCAACGACACTCACTCTGAGTAGAGTATCGAGAAAACTAGATCACCAAAAACACCATAAGGCGATGCGAAGTGGAATTTACCGAACCATGCAAATAACCGGAAGACAAATAGTCATCGTGCAAAGCGTTCCCCTCAGTTTGAATAGGATGTCTAGGCGAGTTCAAGGTATGCCCAAGGACTCACGTTTGAAGCAGTGAAATCCACCGTCGGCTGAGAAGCTGGCACACGAAGCACAGAACCACGTCAAACTGTATCGCATGGAATAGTAAGTGGATGTATAATGTAGAGCAAAATAAAATGTTTTGGGCTATTAAGGAGTTTTCAGCAATCTTATGACCAGTTTCTTTATACTTCGTATTCTCCAAGGTCCATGATGCTTTAGATTGCTTGACACAATAATTCAAATGTCATCAAAAGCGGGCTACTGTGGTAGTTCACAGATCTCATCACATCGAACAGTTTGTAAGGCGGCCATGTGCCTTCTTACAATGACATCTTTTGTTCTCGTATATCGTCTCTGGGGGTGGAAAACTCACACGATACACTGCGAGTAGAAGCCAAGCGACCAGATGGCAGTTAATCTGTCTGCCCACCTAACAGTGCCCTAATGTGATATCTGCTCGGTCGGTGAGGAAATCTTTGCAAGACGACTCCCAAGCTCACCAAGAGACCAAATGCTACCAGACCGACAATCGATGGGCGCAACCCAGCTTCCAATAATTCTGTATGTGAACAAGCCGGGCAATTAAACGGGTCTCAGCTCTTAAAGCGTACATCAAATTATGCATCACTTTTGGCCCCTTTTTATCTGCGGCACATCGAGGTTACTACGAATCTAGCTGCCACACTTTCACGGAAAAGAGTGGAAATGAAAACGCAACAGCTCAACATCAGAGATGCTGAGCGACTGATTTTGCCACTTTTCGACAAACTAGGCATCAGGATACATACGAGTTGGAATGCGGTGGGAACGTTATTCGCTATTTCACTGGGTCACCACTGTCACTAATCCGTCGAGAAGTTCTGCAGCTCTCGGTGCAAAATAGCTACTCCTACATACTGCAACTGTCGTGAGAGATAATGAGTCGGTCGCAATAATGTATGAGACTGTTGCTACTCATGAGCGACGCTAGAAGCTATATCTGTACATCAGATTTACCCGTTCCGTTCCCAGGGTTGAGCTCTGTGTAGGACAAAGGATCCGATTATTTTGAATTCACCTTTAATGAAACATATCCACATTCGCAGTCGCTCTGTCAGAAACCATCGCCATGCAGCGCAAGGCGGTGGTCGCAGTGAAGTTCGGACAGGATTCATCCATATTACGAAGAACTGGTTTTGAAGGGAACCGCAAGTCTACGCATCACCGTCTCATAATCACTGAGATATATTCTCGTCCTATACACTTTTCAGATTCGTCAACAAAACCAGGGATCGGGCGCCTCATACAAAATAATTCAACTCGAGCGATGCAGTTTCTCCTCCATAAACCTATTAATGAACTTTTGTATCTGGATAAGAAAAACTGACCAGATATGGCGGCTTAGCAGGCATGCCATCGGCTTTCAAAATGTTTATCAGGGCTTCCCCTCCAGCGGTGACGAAACAGGCTGCTGAAATTCACAGGAATTTTCTGGGATCCGAATATTTGGTCGATGCAAACTGTTCTCGGTCTGAGGCCTATTAGGTTTGTTTTTAGTTTTCGAAATTGTGCTTTGGTGGATTATCATGACGGAAATCTTCGCCGTAACGGCTGATCCTTCAATAAATATCACAGACAGTATTGCAACTCTTTTTGCGTTTTGGTAGCAATACTGAACTGTTCTGGTCCCTCGTTATCATCTCAGTACGTCTGTAATCAAAGCACTACAGAGTTTTAGAAAATGCAAACAGACAAACCTGGAATATTCTTGCAGGAATATCGTACTCTCTTTGAGAATTCCAGTCTTCGAATGGGATTGCCATTTCAGATATCTCGTTTTGACCTGAGAGCCCACAGTAAATGGCGGTTATACTGTGGTATTATCTGAAATCACCGTTTGGTAATCAGGTGCGTACGGCAGTGAAGCATCGGTGTTGAACACCGATGTCATGCTGTCGATGATGATGATGATGATGATGATGATGATGATGATAATGAATCAGGTGCGAAATTCGAGTGCTCAGTCCACCTCATGGTCCAGTATTCACTTCCCATTATTTTTTCAACTGGACTTCTGCTGTATAGGATGCTGACCAGAAGCATGGCTGATGGGAGTAATAGTTTCGCGGACTTCCCTGCGTTTACGGTTGTCTTTTTATCGTGGGCCATGTCAGACGAAATTGATCGGATTTTGTAGCCCGAAGCACTAAGTTTCAGAAGTTGCTGGCTTTAGACAAGGTGCCTGGGTAGATGGTTTGAATAAGCGGGGGGCTCTCTGGGAGATCCAGTCTTGGCAACAATGCGGTGTATAACCCTGTCTGCATACGACGGTTACATCACGAGGCCTCAAGATAGACAAGTTAGATGTTGCGAGATGTTACTTTTAAAGGTCAC